CACATCTCCTTGTCTAACACCCTCCACACCACCACTGTATGACAGGTCTGAAGTTCCTTATTTCACAGTAGCTAAGAAAGCAGATGATATTATCAACAAAAGCAAGTCAAGTCTCCTGTTTTCAATCTAGGTCAAGTTATCCTCATTCCAGTAGGAAACACTACCTAGGTCAATTATATTACTTTCTGAATTAGCAGTAGTAACATGATGACACAGAGCCATCGGTAAAAAAAAAAAATGAGCTGTTTCCTCACCTTAAAAAAAAAATCCCAATGACTTTCACTTCAAAAAAAAATTTGAATTAATAAAAGGATTTTGCTCCATTGCAAATTATAACCATATGTATTTGCATAATGATATGCAAATTAAATTCAAATAAGTTTCAGATAAGAAATATAAAACTAAGTTGAATGATTAGAGAAGATAAAATAAGTTTTTTTTGGAGGGAGCCAAAAATTGATTTAAGGATTTTAAGAACTGACCTTTAAAGAAGCATACCCATACATAACTATATGTAGCTAGCGTAGAGACCGGAGCTATGATTTCACTGATACACTGAACTCCTAATAGAAGGATTCTACTACTGCAGGGTGGTACCTTCTCTGCAACTTGGAGTCTTAGAAAATTGTCTGAGAAGTTCAGTGACTTCATGGTCACAGAGCCAGAGTGGGTCAGAGGCACAATGTCAACAGAGGATTCCATGGCTCTGAAGCAAGCTCTTTATCCACTCCAGTATGTTGGTGCTATGTGAATAATAACCAATGCCATATACAGTATAGGATCAAGCAACTAGAATTCTTAAGGCAGGTAAAGAAAATGCTAACATTTATTTTATATGTATTTATATGTGTCTTCTGTTTCCATAAGGTGTCCAAGAACCAAGAGCAAATATTATTTGGAAATTCCTTTGAATATACTTGGGGCAGTATAATTTACAATTTGGAACCCAATTAGCTTATTAACCTGACTACGACTCAGTTAACCTGTACTTAGAATTCAAATAAGAAAGCTCAAAAAAAATTAAATTCAATCAAAATATGTTAAGACCCTCATTACTATGGTGAGAGCACAATTAGTTAAGATAGAGTCCTGCCCACTTGGAGCTTACAATCTATTAATAAGATATATCACAAACATTGATAACATTGATTTATCACACTACATGATTAGCACATTTGAGGTTAGCACAAGACACTGTGTTGAAAAAGCAATAGTTGTAACTGACTGGAGTATGAGAAATCAAGAAAGGCTTCATGGAGTAGTGGATATCTGATTTAGGTTTTAAAGGACGAAAGCCTTCATCAGGTATAGAAACGGGAGGAGGATATTCCAGGTTTAGCAAATAGCATGAGTAAAAGTATAGAGGCAAGAAAATGGCAAACTGGAGAGCTGGTTCTCTTTTAAGAGAAAAACAAGTCTTGCAGAGAGGGGAGGGATGGAAGGAGAAAAAAATTTGGAACTCAGAATCTTATAAAAGTGAATGTTGAAAACTATCTTTACATGTAATTGGAAAAAATAAAATACTATTAATTGGGGGCGGAGAAACAAGCAAGTCAATGAGGCAACTTTTAGGAGAGATCGGACTCCTATAATTACAATCCTTTTCTCTGATATTTAATATCCTTAACACTTACCCTTAGACAATGAAAAATTCTAAAGCGCCTTCCAAGAAAGATTAGATTGTGCTAAACACAGGGTTGGTGTTGGTTAACTCTTATAACTAGCAACCTATGTTGGGAGTCTACAGCAATTGTCAAATAACCAAAACATTTCAGCCAACCAGAACACCCTATTCCCCAAGCATTACAAATAAACAAGGTATTACTGTGTATACAATGACATTTTCCCTGTATTCACAGAATTTCATTGATTGGTCTAATTTGGATTTAGTCTACTCATTTTACTCACGTACCAGTCATCATTATGCCCTTGGTTGCTGGAGGGTGCGGAACCTAACATAGAATTATGAAGAAGTACTTAAACATTGCTGTAATTATGTGCCTTGGGAGGGGTCCAAGGTCGGCCAGCAATAATAATACAGTATGATTCCAGTGTATATGTTAGTTTTAAAAAAATGAAAACAAAAAAATTCTTTAAATCACTGACAAAAGAAAATGTTTGTTTTTTTTTTAAATCACATCATCAGATATCGTGACCTTCACAAGTCATTCAACCTTTCGGAGCCTCAATTTCTTAATCTGTAAAAATGCTCTTCTTCATATTATAGTTTAAATAGTTGATGCCTACAGTATTTCCAAGCTTAAAGATCTATGAAATAATACTGATTTTCTTTGAAATCATTGAGATTTAATAGAAAAGTATTAATAATCTATATTTTCTAGTAATAAAAAGCCACCACTGGGACCACTTAAAATACTTTTCCCTTTGTTTTAAAAAATTAAATACTTCATGTAATTCAACCAATTAAGTGAAAATATGCATATCTAATGATGTTAACACTTTTTAAAGTTTCATTTTTCCTTTTTTTTTTTTTAAACTAGGCTGCAAACAAATTGATGATTCTGGTTAACTTATATCAAGCCAAAAGACAGTCAGTTAATAATCCCTCTATCTCATACAACCCAAAAAATATTCATAACACAATTGTGTATTTTAAGTAGGAAGGAGGTAACATGATCTTAATTAACAAAGCTTTTCATAAGACCAAAAAAAGTACTATTTAGCTCTTCAAATTACAAACAATTCTTGGTTATTCAGAAACATACTTTCTCTCTCTCTCTCTCACACACACACACACACACATCCCTTTTAGTCATTCTACTACTCAAGAACAATGAATGGACAAGAGAAGAAAATCAGTCCATTTTGCCACTTATTAGGAGCTCTGAGAAACTGTTTGCCTGGGTGCAGATGGCAACCCCAACAGTACTGGTTAAAATTAGGTTTCAGCATTTGCAGGGGTGGGGGTGGGGTAGATTTCGTTGATTGAGCTATTCCTGTTTTCCTAAATAAGGACAAATTATCAGGGATTAGCTATATTCACATTCAAGTATTCCTATAAGATACCTAAATATTACCAACTTCACCCCATCTCTGATTTTAAAAAGGTAGTGGTGTGAGAGGAGGATCAATAAATAAGGTGAACTTAAATGCATATTCAGGATGCTTTACTTTAGAAAAAAAATGAACAAATTACGGATCTTAATTTTGGGACTACATATTCAGACATAGTAAACAAAGGCATACAGTAATGCATAGTATAGTTTTTATTATACACGTCAATGAAAAATGGAAATCCCATAATTGGCAAGTGAATGAGCTCCAAACACAACTGAAGGGGGGGTGGAGTAGAGAGGGGGAAAAAAAAAAAGAGGTCCTGATAGAAATATAGAGAAGTTTTCTTCCTGCACAGTGGGCCCTAAAGCCTCATTAAAAAAAAAAAAAGATTTCAGAAAACATCTATCCCTTCCCTACTTTCAATGTTTGCCAGGCTGACACTTGGCTTGCAGTTTCCACGAGCCTCAAAAGAAAAAGATTTATGCCTTAAAATTATTATCTCCCTTCTTGTCATCCCAATCCATGTATACATCAACAACCTGAAGCCTGATAATCTCAGGTCCTCTTATGTGGAGACCATTCAAAAACAAATAAGGCAAGCACTCTTTCAAAATAATAAAGCAGTAATGTGGAAATTAGGTGTATCAAGCCCTTTAAACACCCCTTATTAGCTGGTTGGTTCAGCCATCTTCCAGCACTGCTCAGAGGAGTTTCTGTTTCATCTACTTGAACATCCAATTTGAACCCTTTCCAAAGACAGTCCCTTATTTCCATCCTCATCTCTTTGTAATTCAGTTTAGAAGCTTACATCCATGTCCTTTTAAGAGGACGGGGCAAGTGTTTGCCTGAAAACCAAAAAATACAGTAAATATTCACCTTTACGGATCAACTGTACTCCACACCATTCCTGTGGCCCTGAAAATTATTAAAAGGCAAACATAAAAATACCAATAGTATCATTCAACCTTTCTGTCCAGGCAGGTCCCTGGTTTCTTCATTGGTATTTAACACCAAAGCATGAGACTCATTTTTCATTAAAGTTGCAGAGCTTTTATTTTCCTCAGTTTCAAATGTTGTAATTGATCTGCATTGTCTTCTTAAATAACAAAACTGGTGAAGGACACTGCAGCTTTAAATATTTCAGTGCTAGCTAAGAAATAGACTCCATTGCAATATGGCTCTAAAGGTCGTGTCCTATTGTCTTTTTTTCTCTACAAATATACTAAATGACATCGAAGTCATTCTTTTGTATAATAGAGGGTGGTTGCCTCTCTAGAATTTCCACTTCATCTCCTCCACACTGCTCCGGTGTTTATTTAGAATCTTACACTCCTAATTTTCTCCACAGGAGAGATAAGCTGATTGCTATTAAGGATTCCAGTACCATACCTAGACACAAACACATGTGTTCACATTAGTTTAATTGAGCATATGCAACTATCTTAAAAGGACATCTCCCAATGGTTGGAGCCTCTTCAATAGTGAAGGCAGGAAGGACTGCGAATGGACAGCTTTGAGCCTGCACTGGCATCCCTGATTGCAGAACTGAAATGTGTCCCTAGTTAAAATGACAGGAATTCCATACCGCTTAACCTCGACACAGTCTAGCAATCTCTGTGATTCACTTTTTCAGAAAGCTTGACTTCCCTCAAAGACATCAAATAACATCCAAATCCACAACGAACAAGAGCTTAAGAGGGAGAGGGTAGTAGCGTAGGAGAATCACACTCGAGTATCCTTGCACAGAGATGTACGATGCGTTTATGTAATTCCTTAAACTACCGGAATGGTTTTCACATAAGGACAAGACAATGTAAACGAGGGCCACGGGCAAGGAAAGGGGACCATGACATGTAGCGGGTTACGTGGGACACGGTTGCAGAACACAAAGCCCGGCAAGGAAGCAACAGCACTCGCGAAAGGGGAAAGGGGGAGGGGGAGAGGAGGAGGAAGGTATGCGCAGGTGTATTTAGAGTTATTACCTGAAATGGCAACAGATTGTTACCATTATCTGTCCGAAAAGCGTTATCCTCCATCCAGGATTTGGAGGTGAGAGGGGCCGCCCGGGGGAACTTCGGTGGCGCAATCACATTGCTGGAGAAGGGTTTTTTGAGCGGGGAGATGGGATTCAGCGGAGACGGCACGCCAACCCCGACTCCGACCCCTACGCCGACAGCCCGGCGAGGGTCCCTGCCGGCTTGCAGCCCGCCCCAGGGATTGGAAGGGGTGCTCCAGGCGGCGTTCTGGTGATTGTTCCAGCTGGAGGAGGACGAGGAGGCCGAGGCAGAGGACGGCTTGCTGGTCATGATGGGCTGATGGCTGTACGCCGCGGCGTTTCTTTGGGTGTAGGACGCCTGGTTGGGGCTCACCGGCGACCTGCGCTGCTGCTGCTGCTGCTGCGCCTGCTGCTGCTGCTGCTGCGCCTGCTGCGGCTGTGCGGGCGGCGGCGGCTGGGGCTGGGGCGGCGGCGGCTGCGGCTGCTGTTGCGGCGGCGGCGGCTGCGGGGCCGGCGGTGGAGGCGGCGGTGGCGGCTGCTGCTGTTGGTGGTGCTGAGCCTGCGCTAGGCCGAGCTGCGGGGAGAAGGTGCCTCCGAAGACCGGGTTGACGTGGTGAGGAAAATTCTGAAAAAGCATGGTCCCATTGACGGGGGTGATCCCTTGGAAAAAACTGTCCTCCACGGGGTTCGTGGTACCCGTCGACCAGGTGCTCCCGAAGGAAGGGGACAAGGACGTGCCCGGCGCCGCGGCAGGCTCCTGCTGTGGGGGCTGGTGGAAGCTCAAGCCGGGCAGGAGCGGAGATTCCATCTGCATCTTCTCCTTGCCGTTTGGGGCCGTCGAAGAAGTCGCCGCCGCTGCTGTTGGATTGAGACTCGTCACTGGGCTGCTGTCCTCCGGCTTGGGGGTCTCTGAGGAGAGGGGCGTGGAAGAGGCTTCCGCTGCGTTTGATTCTTGCTGCTGCTGCTGCTGCTGCTGCTGTTGCTGCTGCTGCTGCTGCTGCCGCTGAGTCTGGGTTTTGCTTTTGTCCATCAGTAAATCATCCTGCATGGTTTGCGCAGCTGAAACGGGAAAAAAGAGAGGCGTGTTATTATTAATGGGATCATCAATGCCACTCGCAGAAGCGGTGGGGTATTTCACTTGCGAAAATCCAGTGCCACTGCCACTAGCCAATTGCAATGCAAATCCGTAATCTCCCATTTAGAAGCCCCAGTCTGGTAAGGCGGGGGGTCACGCTAGAGCTCTAAAAATATGGTGTTAGCAGCTTCACCCTTTCTGGTGTCTTGTCTCCTTTCAGTGTTAGTGAGAGATGTGCTTATAGGACAGAGATATACAGCAATTTCGCCACGTCTCTTTTCCCTTCACCGGAACTCAGTGCGCTCACCCTGCAATGAGAAACTGATTCTGGTTCCTGTTTTTTCCAAGCACCACCCTCCCCCAGTTATTTGCATACGTCAATAAATACTGCTGCGTCCTTCAGCAAGGTTAAAAAGACACCAGTCACTACACTCCTTCCCCCCACCCCTTCCCCTGCTTGAGCACTTTAAAGGAACAGGAGTCGTATCCTTGATTAGTAAACTACCTTCGTGCTTTTGTAATTGTTTCATTTAACTGCAAAGAACCACGAGGGGAAAAAATCTTTGCATTTGGTAAAAGAAGCCTCAGCTGCACAATCATTCTCTGGTCTTGAGTACTGCAGCCTACTCCATTTTGTTAGGGACCTTAAAAGCAGTCATTTTTAAAGAGGGGGGGGAACGACTAACATTAGCTAATATGCCATTTTGTTTGTCCTTCATTACTCTGAGGAATACATACATATACATATATATACATATACATATTCCACATACATATATTCCTGTTAGTTTTTTCAATACTACTAATTACAACCCAAGACATTCTTTTTAGTGAGTTATTTCTGTTTTCAGCATCTATCTTTGAAGCTCTTCGAAGAGTGGAACAATGGTTCCAGTCGGATTTGAGGTCAAAAATTAGAGTAAAGCTGTGAGATCAGTGGACTCAATTTTAATCCCTTTGAGATTTAGCCAGACAATCAGGGCAAGTTTTAAGTCCTTAAATTGGCACTATCAAATTCTAGAATAAATTATCATACAACTGGTATTTACAGTGGAAAGACTGGGATGCTAGTAGTCCCAACAATAATTCAACAACAACAAAAAATGAATTAAAAACAGAAAAGCACAAAGTCCTTTATTCCTGTACATCCTGATGACACTACTTTTGCCAGAAGAGCTTCCCTTTGTCCCATATGGATATTGTGGTATTTTCCATATCATGGAAAAGAAATACATTATTTACCTTTAAAATATTCCTGAATGTTTAAGGATAAAAAATGCCATCACTTTAAACATGCGGATTTCAGATATACTATTCCCCAGGTTCTGTGTCAGCCTGTATTGTTATTATAGATAGTCTAAGTATTTTTAAATTTATGCCTGTGAATTTTACATTATGCCAAGGCCCTATCAAATATTTGGGGAATTTGCAAGTATATGAGGCCAAACATATAACTATTTAGATGATGATTCAGTATAATTAGAACAAAGTTATTGACATATTTAGTATGGCTATTTTAATTATTTTATTCTGTCCACTTCACAGCACTATATACTTTTGGGCTGCTATTGTTATAATTCTACCAGTGACTGTAGAAGCAGCTTTCTCAGAACCAAGGTATTTACATATACTAAATATTTGCCTTGGGACAACATCATGGTTTAACAGGAGAAATAGGATGAAAAACTGAGAAACTATTACCTTAACTGTAAACAGATGAGATAGAAAGGTTAAAAGAGATGCACTATTCTATTTTTAAGAATATCCTTTAAATAGCAAATCCAGGGTTTTTTTTTCTCAGTGAGTTTCATACACACAAAATGTGGAGGGAAAAACTTCACACCCCCTGTCCTTTGTTGCCCATTTCCCCCCCACACCTCATATGACAGATTCGCCTCTATTATCAATTAAACACACAACTAATTGCATTTTCTTCCATCTTGCCCTAAAAACAATTAATTTAAGTATTATAAAATGGGAAAGTTTCCAAGAAGGAACACAAAAGATTTAGACGTGCACATCACGGAGTCCTGCTGCTGCCTAAGAGGATGGTCATGGAAAAAGACCTTTACACACTTTTTTGGGCAATGCTGCAGTAAACCTGAAGACTCAAGAATCTGAGTAGCTTCCAGGGAGCTAGAATTTTTATTATGATAACCACATCATCGTGGATGAAACTGTAGACTTATTCCATTGTAATTTTAATATCACTCTGCTTCTTGTCCTCTTTAAATGTCCATTGTGTGTTCTTTTTTTTAACAGTGAATTTAAATAAAACATTCTAAGGGTAAAAGGGACTGTATCATACCCCACCCAAAGCAAAAAACAAACAACCTAAAAATCAATTGTTATTGATGATCAGGAGGAGGTGGAGTGCCAGCATTACGTATTTCTTTTCTCACTACTGCTTAAAGGTATACATTTCACTGCTAGCGTAAATTCAGCACTATTGTCAAGGTCAAGACCTGCCTTTACCAAAAATTACCTGTCAGGACAAGAGGCTGACACTGAATTAAGATAACATTTACAATGCTATTACCCGATGTCTCTCAGTTACCGTTGGTGCGAGTATTTGGGGCTCATTTTTACAGCAGTCCTGGAGATATATTACACCATCCCCCACCACCCTAACAATACTGTCTTTTTTTTGCATGCAGTAAACGACAGGCTCAATCCCCGAATTCTCATTTAGCAGTTACCTTTAAGTGTCCAGCTTTTAGGGATCGATAAAAATTAAAGTGTACAGTATTTATTTTCCTTCTTTCGGGTTGATTATCTGACTGCTCCGGCAAAAGCACTTTGACAACTGGAAGACTAGAGGGCATGCGCACCCGAGGAACTGTGGGGACTGGAGTCTCTGCCCAGTGCCTTGCCGGCCCGGCACGTTGGCAAGAAAGGAGGAGAGTTCACCAAGCCAGAGTTATAAGGTTCAAGAAGAAAACAGTGGTACCCTGACTGCGTTAGTTAACAGCCAACCTAAATCATTAACTGTGGAAATGAATTAGGGATAGGGGGAAGGAAGGGAACTGATTTGTTAGGTTAATTTAGGAAGGAAAGCTAAAAGGATCTCTGGCAGTCCGACCTAGAATTAAAAAAACAAAAACAAAAACAAACCCAGGAGAGCGACCTTAAATGGAATCAAAACGATAATGACTGACTAGCCATGGGTACATTGCTATGACAGGATGATTAAATAAAGAACCCTGGATAAAAAATAAAATAAAATAAATAGTAAGTATGGCTTCACTTCTCAAGGAAACCCTATCTTTAAATGAATTGAGTTTAATTGTAGAAATCATGGTAAATACTGTTACACATTTTTTCAGTTAAATCTGTGTCCACAAAAAATTCTCAGGCATATATTTACCATGATTTCTTTAAACCTGTAATGTAAATCAAGCCAAAATTGTTACTTTACAAAATTGTACTGCCTGACACATACTAGGTACTTAATAAATGTTTATTAAATGAATCAACTTGATACCTCAATTCATAGTTGAAAAAAAAATGAAAGCTTCTCTTACCTTAATACAGCAATAATCCAAATCAAATTCAGAATATCAGTGTTTAACAAAATCCCAGGATACCAGATGAAATGTAAAACAACAAAAGTTAGTTTATTTAGTGTTTTACTAAATATCACTCAAAAAATCAAAGAATCCAATTAGAGTTCAAAGAGCCCTCAGAAGCCATCTAGTCCAACCTTCTTATTTTACAAATGAGGAAACTGAGGCCCAGAAAGGTTAATATAGCAACTTGCTCAAGGTGACACAGGTCTATAGTGTCATATTTATTCCAAATTTTGTTAGAGGTTTTGCCAAGTGCTTTATATGCAGATTATTTTATGCTCATGTCAGTTCTGTTAGGTTGGTTTATTATCTCCATTTTACAGATGAGCAAACTTAGGCTGAGAGATTAGAAAACTTGCCCAGAGTCACAGAGCTAGTAAGTATCTGAGGCAGGATTCAGACCACAAATCTCCATGATTCTAGGACCAGCTCTTTATCCTCCATGCCAGGCTGTCAAATGCACCCCCATAGCTTAGTTTTCTGGTTTAGCAAGCAAAATCGAAGAGCCTTAAAATACTGCATTCATGCACTATGGCATACTATTGTCCATTGGGGTTCTAAGAACAATGGTGAAAACCACAGCTTACAAAAGCAGCAGCAGGATATTTATTATTTCCTGTGGGTTTTGGTACAATGCCAGTTGGAGAGGGGGCTCAGTATATAACAGTTGATGACAACACTGATTAAATTTGGAGTTTAAAATCCTGTGTCAGCTTCAATTACAATAACTTTATATTTTCCTTTCTTTCCCAATTGGTACTGTAGTACTTCCATAAACCACCAACTTAAAACATTCCTAGTAGCCTTTGTCTTATTCACTAAATAAACAAAACTGGAAGGTTTTTTTTAACGAGCATTTTGAATAAACATTCTGCAGGAGTGCTCAAAAGCTCAATATGCTTCTGGGCACTTCCCTCATTCCACTAATATTTACTGTTCTTGTACTTGGTTCTACAAATCTGATCCCAACTACCTTTCCAGTCTTATCTACTACTACGTCCCTCAATGTCCTCTTTTCCAGCCAAACTGGTCTATGAAATATTCTGGTCTCAGCATACCTATCAAAGTCCTATTTGTCCTTCAATGTTTCTAGGTCAAATTTCTCTTCCTTCATAAAATCTCTCAAAACTGCTCTGGCATTTAGTGGTCCCTTACTTCTTTGAACTCTTGCATCTACTAACTGTGCAACTCTTTTGACATTCTTCCCATGCTATCTTGTGTTATGTGTGTCTAAAGGTAAATGTGTATATTGTGTCTCCTTGACTGTAAGGTCCATGACATCAGGGTTGATGTCTTCCTCTTTGTACTGCCACTGCTCAGCATAGTGACTCCTACATAACAGGTCTCAATAAATGTTTGCTAATTTATAATCAAGGAGGCAGTTAGATGGCTCAGTGGATAGAGCACTGGACCTGGTGTCAGTAAGACCTAAATTCCAATGTGACCTCAGACATGTACTAGCAGTGTGACCCTGGGCAAGTCACTTAACCTCTGTTTGACTTAATCCAGTGGAGAAGGAAATGGCAAACCACTCCAGTATCTTTGCCAGGAAAACGCCATGCTGTGGTTCACGGGGGTCACAAAGAGTTGGACATGATTGAATGACAGATAATCAAATAATTAAGATGCCATAACACAAGTCTTTAAGGCATTGTGATGACTCATTTTTTTTTTTTTTTGGTGAGGCAATTGGGGTTAAGTGACTTGCCCAGGGTCACACAGTTAGGGAGTGTTATGTGTCTGAGGGCAGATTTGA